AAAAGCCCAACAGTCAAGCCACAAAGCAGAGATGCCTCCACTTAGCTCCTGGTTGGTTCCTTAGGGAGCACCGAACCACGTAGTGAGGCCAACAGAGTCCTTATCACTTATTGATAATTACTTGTAAATTTAAAATTATTATTTAGCTGTGTCACTGCATGGCAGTGTGATGTTGGACAGGTAACTGACTCTTGACTTCCTCCTCCACAAAAGAGAAGCAGTGGCAAAACTTGCCCTGAGAACCTCAGAGATGTTTGTAAAGATCACACCGGAGCCTGGACACAAGAAAGCCTTGTAGCCTTTGAACTTGTAGGTAAATACAAGGCTTTGTGCTCTGCCCCTGACACCCACTCAGAGCTTCCAGATGTCTGGTATATGACCAGCAATCATATACTTAATACTTCAGAATTCCTGGGTGCACCTATGGTGCTTTCTCCAGCTCAGAAGAATGTATTTGCTTTCTTCCGTGTTCTTGGTTTTGAAATTCTAGCCCACCTTCACTTTAGTAAGCTGTGATGGTGGGAGAACTGGTTCTCCTGCTAAAGGTAGCTTCTCTACAGGGGATGAAACAGGGCTGTTCCCACCTTCCAGCACAGTGAAAGTGGTGTGCCCCAGGAAAGAAGAACTGTGAATTTTTGTGGAAGTGATGGCAGCTGGGAAATACAGACAAATTAGTGAGTGATAGATACACATTGAGTCAGTAGGGGGCTTATATGATCAGCATAATAATAGCTATCATACACCAGGGCTTCCCATGCGCAGAAGACCTTAAGTCTGCCCTCCAGCTTCAGATCCCCACCATCACCTTCTGCCCCGGAGATGGCTGGCTGTTCCAGGTCAAGCACCCCCTCAGCACAAGGGCTCTGAGCCCCCGAGGGCAGCTCTGTGTTCCCAAGGCTTGTGGTTTCTAGGGGCCTCTGTTTCAACGAGCACCCACCATGCTGTGTGCACAGATGCCCATGCTTGCTCTCTCAGGGCCTAGAGTGCAATCTCCGTTGCAGAAGCATTTTTACTACAACACTTACGTTAGACACATTGTGTTAGAATTTTCTTCCCTGGAGAAAGCTCTGCAGCTCTCTGACATCCTGGACACCATGACGTCTGACATTGTGGACCACTGTGCCTTTATGACACTGACCACATGCATACATGCCTCCTGTGAGCAGGGCTGGCCCTTGGTGAGCAATCCTGAGCCCCAGCAGACGAGCAGAGCAAGGGCAATGGCTTTCTGCAGCCTTTGAGTCAGAACTGTTCACTCAGCCCAGAGCCAGCAGGAAATGTGAGTCATGCTTCCTTTGTCTCGACCTGCACGGGGAAGGTGTTGACAGTAGCTCAATGTTTCTTCTCACCTGTTAAAAAGTAATATTTGTATAGCTTGAAAATACTTAAGAAGCTGCAAGAACATATTTTGAATGTGCACATCTTGGCCTTTTCTTTTACTATTTCTGAAAAAGAAATTCAAAACTCAAAGATGAGCCAAACTTTCCAGTACCTTGAAGTAAATTTAAAGGAGTTCCTCTTCTTTTTACAACTATGGTCATGTCCCGTTTACAGAAAGCCAGTGATTGGCCACTGAAATACCATAGTTCTGCAGACTTCTCTGAGATAATCTGGAATTGCTAACCAGCCACAGAATTCCATGATACGCACAAGCTGCACATGGACTCACACCCTCCTCAGTGGGGCTCAAGCTGCAGCAAATGGCTCTCAGTGAACTCAGCCCTGGCCCACACTTCTCTGAGCTCCTCGGGCTCAGCTCTTCTTCCTCTCTGGTTTTCTTTACTCTTATTCTTAAATCATATGTTATCTCCTCCAAAATTATCAACATAAGCTGAGTCATGAGAGCCTTTCCTGTAATGGGAGCATTTCATGCTGCTTTCCTGTATGTGAAACACTGGGCAAGCCTCATGACCCTTGAGGCAACTCCACCTGGCCTGTGTGATTCAGCAGGTAGCAGCTGGCACACTCAGGACATTTGGGAGTGGCATCTGGTATCAGAATCCTGGTTAGGTTCTGCACTATTGATTCAGTCTATGCCCTGAGGAGTTATGAAATCCTTTAAACATTCAGGTTAGAACTTCTTAAAGACCATCCTGGTACAGAGAGAATAGGGTTGCCTTTTGAGCCAGGTAGATTTGGATTCACACCCTTACTGCTCCAACACATCGATTCTTTGGCCAGGGCAGGCACTAAGTCTCTCCACATCTGGGACCCTCATATGCAGATCATCATGAGGGTGTGTGGAGTGACCGGAGTTCCCAGCAAGCTCTGGACCCCCTCCTGATACACGGTGACAAGCGTCTTCCCCAGGAGTCAGCCCTTGCGAATTGAGGGTTGAAACTCAGCTCCACGCTCCCTTCCTGTCGGAGAACTTCTAATCCTCCTCAGTACCGACCACGTGATCTGTCCCACCAGCCAGGAAATATCCTAAGGTCCCGCAGTCTAAAGCCAGTGAAAACACCAAACCAGCCCTGAAAGTCCTCTAGTGCTCACAATAGTATTCACATTAATTTCCTCAGCATGGCAATTAAAGTGAAACGGCAAATTCAGTATCCACACATGTGCCGATCGAGGCTCCCCCTTAGGGTGTCCAGACCTCTCGGTTTGCTGGGGGCTGAAGGCTTTCCCACGGCAGGGACTGAGTTCTAACATCAGGGAGTCCTGGGCAGACAGGGACAACTGGTCACCCTATTCGTGTTCACCAACCAAAGGTGGGACTTGAACAGCCCCTGCGCGGGTGAGGAGGGCTCTGGGTCTCAGTGCCCCGGGTGGCAATGTGGGCTTGGGCCCTTGGGAGTTTGCACTACATGATTTCTGACTTTATTTCCGGCCTTCACAGTCTGTGGTCCTGGCTGAGGGGGGCTCCACCTGTCTCAGCAGATGCCCAGGGGGACATGCTCTGGTAGCTCACACACCTGCAGGAGGGACAGTGTGAGAGCATTCTCCGAGCACTTTGGACACATACCCCTTTCTGAGCTGTGGTCTTTGCAGTCCTGACTTACCAAGCAGCTTGGAAAAGAACGTGGTCCTCCAGTCCTGATAGCATCAGACTGAGTCAGCCCTGTCTGAGCTCTTCTGGTTACCTCCAAGGGCATATCCTAGAGGCAGGTTCAGAGGCCACCCACAGAAACAGCCCTTTTCAAAAGCTGCTGGGAGAGTCACTGCTTATTTACTCTCCCCATTTCAAAGTTGACTTCCTCTAAAGGGAGGCATGCTGTCCCTTACCAACAACCTTCTGACTGGACTTCAAAGCTTTAGGCTGCCGGGGCAAAGGGCCTGGAGGGGTTAAAATAAACCTCCTATGAAAAAATTATGCCACTTATAATTTGCATGTTTTTCTTCCCCGTTGCTTAGTTCTTTTTATATGATTTGGACTTTGGGTTCCATTTATGGTTCAGACAGACTGTTCACTAAATAGAACCATAAACAGAAGAGCCATATTAAAATTCATAAATTAGGCTCACAGCAGAGCTCTCTCCTATTTTTTCACCCTGCTTTGTTCCCCCCTCCTTCCCTTCCTTCCACCTGTGTATTGTCATCTATCTGCCTATCTATCATATGTATGTTATCTATGGTCATCTATGTGTCCTTATTGCATGTCTGACTTTTCTGCTAGAATGCAAGCCCACCATAGCATGGAGGTTGGGGAACCCCCACTACTTATTGCAATATTTGGCTCCTCAATAAATGTATGTGGGTGAATTCCACATGTTGTCCTTGATTACAGTCACTATTGCCCAGGGGCATGATTGCTTCAATCCACCAGGCAGACAGCAGGATATAGATCCAGTTGATAATGTAATTGCCTTTTCCAGCTTTTGTAGCTGAGAGTCCTATGCTCAATAATCGAGTATCCTACATGTGAGACTGAACCAAGATCCAGGTCCTTCCATATCTGCTCCTGTGGCTCAGGTCCTCACTTTCTAAGGAACTTAATACTGTATTTTGACTCAAAGATGAAAAGTTACTAATGGTTTAATATAGTCTCCCTTTCAGAAAACATTCTAACTTTAAAGAGATAACACAAAGATGACAATCAACTGTAGAATTTGGGGCACTGAAGCAGGGATAATGAGGAAAATACTACTAGGTAGGAGCAAATTTTCTGGTGTATTTTTTTTCCCCAATAGCTAGTCTCTGCTACTTTTACAACCAGAGTTATAAGCTCCTGACTGAGAACTCAATTCCTTCTTGCTCAGTATATTCCCTGCCTGGAACATCAAAGTGTCATATAAATCCATTTACTTCATCACTGAAAGTCTGAAGCCAAGTGTGAGCACCTAAGCACTACGTGTCACCTCACTGCCGTGTCTTGAAGATGGTAACTGGGAGGCAGTAATTCGAGCCCACCCGAGGGAAGGGGCGGCCACCCTCATACCGCGATGGCCGCCGCCCGGCCGGCTGGCTCGGCTGTAAGAGGGTCCGTGCGGTCCCTGGGCGCCTGTCCGTTGTCTTCACGGAACTGCCAGGGACCGCCTCGCCCCAGGAACGCCTGTCTGGGTGTCGTGTGCGTTTGGACATGAGCCGCTGCAGGACTGGAGAAGAAGCCAGCGTGGCCCAGTGAACGCAGCGACTCAGAGGCCAGACCCCGGCCTCCCCTCCCTTCCGCAAGCCAGGCCCACCCGACAGCGGCCCTGACACACGGTTTGCCCTCGGACCGAGCTCACGGACACGAAAGCTCACAAGCTGTGCTTTCATTCTCATTTTGTGCCGTTTCCAATGGTGATAGTAATAACACATGGGGAAGAGAAATCTGTTCACACATGGCTGACGACCCGAAGAGCATGCTGAATATTCAAGACTGTTTTTGCTGCATCCCATCTCCGGGGAGAGCTGGAGACTGTCGGTGCCATACAGCTTCCCTAGTTCAGGCCTTACAATGTTCCCCTCATCTCCACTGAAAATCAGGAAAGAGGATATTAGGAAGAAAGAGAGAAAACAAAATATATGGGTAATTATAAGCATTCTTGCTTCAATTTTTTTCACATTGTAAAAATTCATAAGATAATGATGAAAATACTTTATTTAATATAGAATACACAACACTGAACTCCAGTTCCGTGTAGAAAAAACTCTGTTTAGAAACTGCCATAACAGTTGTCTGGGCCTGATGTTTTATGGTATCACCAACTATAACCATAGCACTGAAATTTTAACGTATTGAAAAACAGCAATGTTTAATAATGCCTTCTTCTTCCAGTGTCTGTGACCAGTAGTTTAAAATCTGTATCATATGTATATAATGAGGAAATTTTCCAGTTATATTAGTATCTTTCATTCTGAGGCTTTGCTCTCTCTACCCATATACTAGTGAAATTTCTTTATCAGTATTTTTTTCTTTCCATTGTGTTTAATCATGTTGTTTTACATGCTATTCTTTCAGGAACAAATAAAACTACCTTGCAGCACTAACTATTGCTCATCTTTGAGAAAAGCAATCACAAACTCTTTCATTCATAATGTGCTACAAAGTTTAATTTTCTCAAGGTCACTCAGCAAACTGGAGTTATTCAGCATTAGGAAAGGATTTTTTTGCCTCCAACCTTGATGCTAAAGCACAAATCTGAATGGAAGGAAAGAGCATCACCTCACCTCTGCTGGAGTCTGGGGACACTGTTCTTCACAGTCATCTCTGAGATCTACTTCCGGAATCCACTCTGGCGGAACCCTTCCCCTCCCCACAGCTATACCAAAGTGCGGACGCTTCTGGAAGATCTTGGTGCTTTTAAGTGGTCGCCAATTTGTTTTAATATTTTTCATTTATTACATGGATGGTGAGTCTGCACCATTCTGACCTAAGACAAATCTGAACTAGGCTTCCATTCATCCTATTCAGACCATAAAAAGGCACAAAACGATTCTGCTTGGAGCATTCACATATATAATTAATGGAACATCTGCAAAGGAGGGAAATGGGTATATGAAAAGATCCTTTTAAAAAAAAACTCCTCTCATCTTCGACATTATCTTTTTAAACTAAGTGCAATCCAGCGAACAGCAAAGTAGCAGCGTTTTAGAGGAGTAACTGGGGACTCATTCTTGAAGTAGGCAATCTGTTATCTTTAAACAGAGTCTACAACGAGTCAGGTGCATCCATCGGCCAACAGTCTCCAAAATGCACACCCAGGACTTATTCGAAAACACATCACTACAGTACAGAGCCCTTAACACTCTGCTTACAGTCAACAGTTGGAACACTGAATTGAACAACATATACAAAACATAACTGAGGATAAAATGACTTAAAATTATACTGATAAAAACTAAAACCATATGAAGTGAAGGAATATTATTTGAAGACCCTTAACTGTGTAAGATAAATATTTAAGTAACTCAAAGACCTACTCTCATAGTAAAACAGTTACAAAAATAGAATACAGTATTAAACAAATACATGAATATATCAAAAAGAACTGATTTATAAAATATTTTTTATATTTTATAAAATATAAAATGAGATGGCCATTTCTCTCCCCTCCCTATTCTAATAATTTTGTTCTTAGGGAGACATTTTGATAACATGTACTTATAATCAGTTATTTGAACAAGTTGACTGACAAATTTTCTTTGGGTTGTCCTCATTGATACAAAAGTTCTCTAAGAGGTTCTGAATTAGAAATCTACTTTGGACGTCATGAGTTGGTTCAGAATTGGGGTCACAGCCAGTCCTAACCGGCAACATTCTGATCCCAGAATCTCCTGCTGCCCAGAGGCCGCCCCTCGTCTCCAGTGCACCCTCTGCAGAGAAGGATGGACAGGAGCCGACCGTGGGGTGGCTGCATGCGAGGCGGTGTGAGTTGGCCTAGAGGCCGGGGCGGAGCCTGTGCTGTGGACCCGCGCTCTGTGTGACTGTGGCTTGCCACTCCTCTTGGCAAGCTGGCACAAGAAGAACCACAGAGGCCCGTTCCAAATGGTTCTCAGGAAACTTTCCAGGAGCAAGAAAAAGTTTTTTAGCTATATTTTGATTCTAATTTATCTCTTAGTGGTGCTTCCACATGTCTACCCCCGAACGGGACTGGCATCAGTGGGATGAGCTTGTAGCCTTCAAGTGACTGTAAAAGTGCCTCCTGATTCCTTCACCACCACAGTCCGTCGTGCTGCAGTGTACCTGCGCCCGCGCCTGGAAGCAGAGATCTGCATTCACTCTGCAGCTGGAGTATTTAAGCAGACTGCACCTCTCATGATCACAGTCCTCTGATTTAATGGGTGCCCGTCAGCCCGAGATGCCTTAAGGCAGCCAGCACCACGGGATTCATGCTTGCTTTCCATGCTTTTTGCCTTTTCTCTTTTTCAAGTTGACTTTATCATTAAAATGAATCATAGTACCTCTGGTCAGCAAGCTGGTCAAAAAGGTACCCCTGAAAATATTTCCCGGCAGCTTTCCCCTCTTCTGTAAGTAAGGATGGTTCCACCTCAAACAAGAAAATATCTCCCAGAGCTTCAGCTGTTACAGCAGTTACAGTTAATTTCCAAGTTCCATGTTTCCATCTGCTCCACACATTTCAAGCCTTCTGAAAGCACCTAAGCCCTCCTCAATGGGATGCTTATCACTGGAAAAGCAGTCATGTGGTCATTGGCTGCACTGGGCAAGCCCGTGTGCCACCCGTCATGGTTCACACCCAAGGAGCCCTGGAGCCAGGAGGGCCTGCTTCCTGGAGGAAGGAAAGAGCAGTGAATCCACATTGGTCTAGGCAGAAGCTTTAAAGCCAAACTTTGCACTAGAGTCTGGTCCCTGCAGTCTCCGGTTTTGTGATATTTTCTGCATTTTAAAACATCTCCTTTCTGCATTTTAAATTTGGAAAAGAACTCAGTAGCCTTAGTAAAGACAGAAATCATCCTGGTTTCTCTGACAGAACAAATAGCCATCTCCCAGCAGGCTTTTTTCTGGACTTCTGAAATTTCTGTTTGCCTCCAACTACTCATGGGGCAGTAAGAAAACTTCTCTGAATGCTGAGAAGGCCAGTACCATCACAGAGTTGGACTGCAAAATCAAAAGCAAGGCAGGCAGTACAAATTAATATTTGAAGGCAAAGAGAGTTCACTCTTTTCAGACACAAATCTCTCAAAAATGTCCAGAAGCCGACTGAACCAGAGAGAGGTGGCCTGAAGGCTCCGCAAACCACTTGTTTACCTAAAAATGTACTCTCTGTTGGTAGCTGAAGACCTTCCCAGCTAGTTAAAAGAAAGATGCAAAGTCCCAGTTAGCTCTTCACTGCACATCTCTGCAAATGATCAGACATGACTCTGCCCCCCAGTGTCCAGTGGGCCTCTACAGGAATTCCTTTTTTATCAAAGAGAAATGTGAAGAGAGCTGTGGAATATCTGAGATTTTTGCCTTAAAACTGAACAATGTTTATCGCTTGTTAATGCAAAGGACAAGTTACCATTCTTTTATAATAATATTAAAATCAGTAACTTATAAAATCTGTGCAAAAGACAGAAAACCAGAGAGACCTAAATTTAATAGGCCTGTCATTTTACTGAATTGAAGGACAGGAAGATGACTAAATACGAGCAGATATGAGAGAAATTTCATGAATTGAGAAATTTCATGAATTACATGCTAGGAAAGGGAAGAGCAAATTACATGTGTGCAACTGTCTGTTATGCACGGATCCCCAGGGCAGATTCTGTGAGTCATTCTCCAGCCCTGATATTGCCAATTTTGGAAAGCAAAGATTTTTACTGCATGGGGTAATAAACTTAGGCACTTTTAATTCTAGGTGGGATTTTATTTTAATTTATGATATCTCCATCTACTGAGGGGATAAAAACCTCTATGGAAAATATGTTTATTTTCTTTTTCACTTAGCATACCTTTGTTCACCTTAAATTTTCTCTATTTTTCATGAAATCTAAAATGAGTTCACAAGGATTCAAACACAAATGGCCTGATAAGCTAGAGAAAAATTACAGCTTGCATCCTTCCTTCTATAGATTGCAGAAGTTTTGAAATTAGTCTCAGACAAGTGGCCCTGAGGAAAGGTCAGGCGCCGGACAAACCGCAGAGATGCAGGTAAAGGCCCCGCACTCTGTGCCTTGGGTCCTGGCTTGTCTTCAGAGGAGGAGACTGTGTGTCTGGGGGGAGTGAGAGAAGGGGCTGAGGTCATGAGCAGACCTGGTGCCAGGGAGCTGGAGAAAGACCAGGAGACTAAATTCCTCCTCATAACTCCAATCAGTCAGGCTAGAGGCTCCCTGAATTGAAGTTTCAGAGAATGCAGGCCATGTTTTGGGTCCAGGGGAGTAAATTTGTGAGGAAAATTTCTATAGTGCTGGTGACTGTGTCAGCATACAGAAAACAGTAGGTTCTGTATGGTACCCATTTCCCTCTCCAAGCAATAACATGAAACAGCTCAGAAGGCAGGTGACACTGCCCCCCAAATGGACAAACAGGGTTAATGGAGAGGGCAGAGGTCTCTTCTTCTGACTAGGTTCACTTTTCCTCTTGGCTTTTCTGTCACAAAAGTGAAAGTTCTCACAGGCTAAATGAACTCGTTCTGTTTTTCATAGGCTCAAACCTAAATGGGCCTTGGAAAAGTTAGTTCACAGACAGAATCGTAAATTCTTTTCCAGGTCACTGCGCTGACCCTGGAGTACTGGGGATGGGGTTGTGTCTGGGTCCACAGGGTCCAGGGGCATCCCCACTGTCATGTTGCCAGGTTTTATTTTGATTGCTGGCACACTGCCTTGTTACCTTGGCACTATTTCTGCCACCCATTTATCTATTCTGCATGAAACAGCAAGCTCGGGCGACCTGGAGGGAACTTGTTTGTATGTTCACTGTTTACGTGGTCCAATAGACAATGGCTCTTTTCTTTTTCTGGGTTCCAGTCATGGAACACAGATACACAGATTATTGATGATACAGAATCAGAAAGTATACAGGTTGGAGCCGTCTGCCATCTGCCTTCATGTTATGGACAGTGGAAGCCTAGGTCCCCACTGCCAGAGTGATCGCTCGCGGAACACAGGCCTCCCCTCCTCACCAGCTATACTGCCAGACCCTGTCTCTCTGGAGCCACTCCCAGACCAGGAGCCCCACCTCCTCTCCAAGGCACTCACAGGGCTTCACGGGGACACGCTCACCTCAGCTCCAAAAGACAATTTGTGCAAAGTACAAGCTAACATGTTGTTCTCGTTTTCACATGACTTTAAATTTTGACTGCCCATATACTTTCTTTGGGGAGTTAGCCTCGTGGAAAATGCAACAATCTTCAATAAATTATAAGGAAGAAAGTAAGTAATATTTCTTCTGAGTTGAAGGGAAGCAATGAATTGGTCTCTTCCTGTTAACTTCCACAGCTGCACCAAGGCTGTGGCCACTCAGAGAGGTTCGCTGGTCCTCAGCTGCTGAGCTGTGTGAAAGCAGGTCTCGCGGCAGCCTCCCCCACTGCTCGGAAGACTGATGAGGTATCTGCAATTAGTTTATCTGAAGGCAAAATACTTCCACCACATGAATTTTTAACATATAGCAAGTTGCAAAAAAGACATTGTGATGTTCAAATTCTCAGTTCTCAAAGAGAACCTCACCACACATGCCAGGAAGGAAAAGCAGAGAGGACAGATGTAAAATCCCTGGCTCCCTAATAAAAAGAACTCACCATCAGCCCTGCTGCTGAGACCAAGGGGAGGAGACCTGGTTACTGTGTCACCATCAGAGGCAAATGAACTGTAGAACAAAGTGCCTGCAACTCTGAGACCCTGGTTAAAACCAAGCCCAGTCCCAGTTCAACGAACTGAAACTCCTCATAGTGAGCTAGGCTGACTAACAAGTCAAACAAAATTTAACCAAATAGAGGTCTCTGCAGCTAAATGAAAGCAAACTGCTGACAAGATCCTGTAGCGATGATCTCCTCTCTGCCCCTGAGCTGAAGGCCTCCAGGACACGCACAGAACCTGCCTTGGGGAGAGCAGAAGGCAGCAGTTCCCTCAGCAGCAGGTGGACGGCCAGCTCTGACCAAACCTCAAGGTCGAAGAGAACAATTCATCCTTGAACTAGGGCTCTGGGCTATTTTTAACAAGGGGAATAAGAGCAGAGGTGTTGTAAAACTGCTGCCTGGGCATTCTGTAATTCCGACGTCTCCCTTTTCCACATTAATAAACTAACTGGAATTGCATAACTTAGAGAGTCATCTTTCCAGGCAGCCAGAAGCAGCATACCCCCAAAATGGGCGCTGGCCCTGCGAGGGACTGCATGGGAAGCCCTTCTGCAGCAGTCACAGACGCATGAGCCACAACTCGCTTATCTGTGGGTCCCTTGCAACTTCAGAGGAATGGATCCATGCGACTGGGTCACACGCACCAAGCCCTAACAGACACTTTACACATGCACCCCTCCCTGCTTTCTGGCGCACACCTTGGGTTTGGGTCACGCCGGGCCCTGCAGCCCCTGGCCAGCGGTCTCCTTAGCCTTCTTACAGGTGTACAGCCACTTGATGATGCGGGCGTTCCTCTCGATGACCGAGGTGGTGCTGGGCACCTGCTCTGTCAGCTCCTCCTCCTGCAGCCCCTCGTCCCCACCGCTGTGCCTGGAGAAGCCGCTGTCGGAAGTGGCGACACTCACGCTGCGGACCTTGTGAGCGACACGGTCCGACCCCGCCGAGAAGTTCTCCCTCCCGAGGGCCTCCACGACCTCGGGCTCAAGACCGCAGTATTGGAAGAAGGTGTCGAATTCGGCCACGGACGCAGAGAAGCGGGAGCTGAGGTCGGACTGCGAGCGTTGCAGCCCCCCGCGCCTCCCGCCTCGCAGCTCCGGGCCCCGGGGCGCCGCCGGGACTGGAGGGGGCGCACGGACGCGCTGGGCTGGCGCCGGGGCCGCTGGGGGCCCAGGGCGCTCGGGGAAGGCCACGCAGCCAGGCTGGGTCGGGGCGGCCTCCTCGTCCCCGGCCCTGCTCGCCTCCCCCACCCGGGGTGTCTCGGGCACCGGCGTCCTGTCCTTGCCCGGACCCTGTAAGAGCTTCTTCACCAGGCCTCCCCTGGAGCTGTCGGCGCCAGGCCCGCGGACGAACTCGCATTTCTGCCGGTAGATGACCAGCGAGTCGGGCCTCAGCGGCTTCCGCGCTATGGCCCTGCGAGCCGCGGACCCGGGCGCGCGCGTCAGGGGCCGAGGGTCGCCCGCCTGCCCCGCGCACGCCGCGGCGCTACTGCCCTCGGAAGCGGGGTCCGGGCCGGTCCCCGGCGCGCCCCGAACGTATTTGGCGCGGTCGGCCGCCAGCCTCTCCACCGCGCTCTTGCGCGCCGTCCCTGCCGCATGCCCCGCGCGGGGTCCCTGGGGTTCCCGGGGGGCCTCGGGATCTCGGGCCAGCAGCCGCTCGCTCGCCGGCGCGTCCGGGGCTGGCAGGGCGCGCATCCTCGGGGATCCACGGGGCCTCGGAGACCCTCGGAAACGCTCCCGGGCTGCGCCTCGCGTCGTCCTGGGCCAGTTCCGAAGTCCTCTCGGGGTGGGGCACCGCGCCCCGGTGCCAGCCGGCCCAGGACCCGAGTCTGGGCGAAGTGAGCGCGCCCCGATTGGCGGATGGCCCCGTGCGCGCCCAGGCCCCTCCCCGCGGGCCGCCCTCCGCACCTCGCGGCCGCGCAGCCAATCGCGCGCCGGGCGCTGGGGCGGGGTTGCTGGGCCGGGGGTGGGGTGGGGGAGCGGCGGGGTCCACGGGGCGCTGGGTCTGGGGCGCGGGTTGCCAGGCGGCTGCGGGGCGCTGGCGGGCGGGAGCCGCGTTCCAAGCATCGGCGCCTCCTCCCGGGTCACCGCCGGACGCAGCGTTTCCGGTGTGGGGGCGGTGGGGGGGCAGAGGGACGGGCTCCCCCCCCTCCACTCCTGGGCAGGTGTCTTGGGTACCTTGGGGCCTTAAAGTGACCTCGGCGTGTTTGGAAACTGGACTTGCTTCAATTTTATGTCTCCACCTGAGCGCGTACTCTGATTATCAGAAAGGAAACGCATATAAATGAAGAGAAAACGCATTGCTCAACAGCGGCATTTTCTGTGCTGGGCAGGAGAACCCAGGAGCTGGCAGGGCCTGGACCGCGTCCAGACTCGGTCGCTGCCGGCCACGGGCCGGACCGGAGCGCTGAGTGTCGCGGGAGAGCAGGCTGGCTGCAGAGGCGATTCTCGGTGGGTTGAGAAGAGGCCTGACCGTGCCCAGAATAATAGCAGTTTTTACTGTAACCAAGTCAGCGGGGAAACCGCGGGTTCAGCAGGGCAGTGGATCAACGTAGGAATGCTAAAAGTGTAAGAGAAAATATTTCCAAAATTCCATTCTTTTCAAAGTGGGACAAAGGACTGAAAGTATCTGCCAGAGAAGGGAAGTGCCCTGTTATCTCTGTGTTAAGGTCTGCTCCAAGATGTGCTGGCCTTTCCAACGCGGTGGTGCGCTCCGAGGGTGCGTTAGGTCTGCGTCTGTGTTTCCAGAATGGCATCTTGCCAGAGGGGATCCAAGATGTGCTGGCCTTTCCAACGCGGTGGTGCGCTCCGAGGGTGCGTTAGGTCTGCGTCTGTGTTTCCAGAATGGCATCTTGCCAGAGGGGCTGGTGGTGAGTCAGGAGGTACAGCCCCCCCACCAACCACTGATGGGCAGAGAACAGCAGCGGGGTTGTGCCACATGGGGCTTCAGACCTTTAGAACCCTGGAGCCAAATCCCACATTCAAGGGCAAAAGCACAAGAAAAACCAGGTCTCCTCAGAATCAGGGAAGCCAGATAGTACCCTCCAAAAATGTCATACTCATAGGAAAACAGATTTGTGGTCCGTTAGGTAAAGGGAACTGAGAGCGAGAGAGATCGCGGGAGTTTCTGTCTTGGACAGATTGTTTCCCACGAAGGATACTAGTACTGATGGAGGGGGCCTGATGGGAGCCCTAAGTCCAGCCTTTTCTGTTCATGCAGCCTGGTCTCTTGTCAGTCAGAGAAAAAAAAAAATGCCTAGTCCAAAGTGGCTCTTTTTCCTAATTTTCAGTTCTTCATGTGCAATTGCAGCAGTTCTGAGAGAGAACCCCTAAGCATAGGACTCCTGGAATTTGTCTGAGTCTGGGCCCACCATTTATTTAGCTGTGTCCTTTGGACAGACAAGTAACCAGTCTCATGGAGTCTTTGTTTTGTCGTTTGTAGCTTAGAAAACTCATTGCTTCGTAGTGAGCACTAAGTGCTGACCTGAAAGATCTAAGCTCAGGTCTTGGCTCTGCCTTCTTGAGAAGCTGTGAGGTTTGAACTCTCCATGCCTCTAGTTGCTCATCTGTAAATTAGAGCTCATTATATCCACCTGCTGGGGTTTTTGTTAAGTTAATGAGATTATGTATATAAAGGACTTAACAGTATATCTGGTACAGAGCAAGTTTTCAATAAATGTTGAATTTGTTTTGATGAAAATAAATGTGAGTTAGCTATTTAACAAATGTTATATGTGGTTAATGAATTCACATATGAATATTGAACATATTAAGAATAAAAGTAAAACTACTATAAATAAGGTTTTATTTAAGACTTACTGCTGTTAGACAAAACTCATTATATGTATATCCATAATTTTCCATCTATTACACACATAATTACTAGTAAAGTGGAATTATAGTAGTAAGATATTGATAAAAAAATTGTCTAAATAAAGTGTTCTTATTGTTCAACTGATAGCTTAAACTTTGAGAGCCTACTTTCCTTCCTGGCATCACCTCAGATGACTTGGTCAGAGCAGGAAGAAATGCTTACAGACTCAGTGATCCAGAAACTTTACTCCTAGGAATTTATCCTAAGGAACTAAGAAGAACAGTTGTGTGTACAGTATGAAGATACTCACTGCAGATAAGCAGAAGTCATGTACATTCAACAACAGGAGGAAGGCTATGTAATGTAAGAGGCATCCATGAGATGAAGTATTATGCAACTATTTATAATCACACTTTCTCAAGATATTTTATGGAGTAAGAAATTATCATGATATATGTGCAATTTAAAAAATAGCACAAATGTAGTAGCAGCTTTGGATAAATTTCTAGAAACACAAAACCTACTACACCTGATTCCCAAAGATATAGAAAATCTGAATAGACCTATAACTCATGAGATTGAATCAGTAATCAAATAAATATTTCCCACTACAGCAAAATACTGTCAAACAGAATTCAGTAGCACATTGAAAAGATTATGCACTATAACCAGGATGGATTTATTCCTGGAATGCAGGGTAGTGGTTCAACATATGAAAATAAAACAATGTAATATGCCTTATCAACAGAATGAAGGATAACAATTGACGTACGAAGTCCATCTTGATTGATATACAAAAAGCATTTGACAAAACTCAACACCCTTTCATGATAAAAACACTCAGTTAGAAGGGAGTACCTAAACATAATAAAATCCATATATGAAGAACTCACAGTGACCATCATGTTCAAGGGTGAGAGATTGAAAACTTCCCCTCTAAGATCAGAAACAGAGCAAGGATGCCAACTTTCACTGCTGATGTTCAACACAGCACTGGAAGTTCTAGCCAGAGCAATTTGGCAAGAAAAAGACACCCAAGTTAGACAGGAAAAAGTAAAATTTTATACCTCTGAAGATGATATGATTTTATATGCAGAAAACCCTAAAGATTCCACACACACACACAAAACTGTTAGAAGAAAATGAATTCTACAAAGTAGCAGGATACAAAGTCAACACACAAAAGTCAACTGTATTTCTGTACACTAACAATGAACAATCTGAAAAGACAAGTAGAAAAATAATTGCATTTATAATACCATCAAAAGAGTAAAATACTTAGGAATCAACTTAAACAAGGAAATGAAAGACTTTTACAATGAGCACTATAAAACATTGCTGAAAGAAATTAAAGAAGACATAAATAAATGGAATTGCATTCCATGTTCATGGATTGGAAGACTTAAAGTATCAATACTACCCATTAATTCAATGCTATTCTTATCAAAATCCCAATGATGTTTTGGCAGAAGTAGAAAAACTAATCTTAGAATTCATAGGGAGTCTCAAGAAACCACAAATAGTCAAAACAATCCTAAAAAAAAAAAAAAGAACAAAACTGGAATATTTGCACCCCTGATTTGAAAATTTACTACAAAGCTATAGTCATCAAAAGAATGTGATATTGCCATAAAGACAAACATATAGACCATTGGAATAGAATAGAGGGCCTAGAAATAAACCCTTGCATATATGGCAGAATGATTTCTGAAAAAGGTACCAGCAACATTTGATCATGAAGGGGCAGTCTCCTCAACTAATGGTGCTAGGGAAAACTGGACATCTATGCACAAAAGAATGAAGTTGGACCATTACCTCACACCATGCACAAAAATTACCTCAAAACAGATCAAGAACCTAAATATAAGACCTAAAACAATAAAGCCCTTAGAAAAAAAAGGACAAAAGCTTCATGACATCGGGTTTGACAATGATTTTTTTGGATGTAATACCAAAGACACAAGTAATAAAAGAAAAATAGACAAATTGGGCTTCATGAATTTCTTTTAATTGTGCATCAAAGGACAATACACACAGAATAAAATGGCAACCCATAGAATGGGAGAAGTATTTGCTAGTAATATAGCTGATAAGGGATTAACATCCAGAATATATAGAGAATTCTTAAAACTCAACAACGCAAAAACAGAAACAAAAGCAAAACCAAATTCAAATATGGGTTAAGGACTTGAATAGACATTTATCCAATAAGCACATGAAAAGATGCTATCAGTAATCACTGGAGAAATGTACATCAAAACTACAGTTAGATACCACCTCATACACATTAAGATGGATATTATAAATAAAAAAGCAGAAAACAACAAATGTTGGTAAGGATGTGGAGAATTTGGAACTCTTGTGCACTGTTGGTGGGAATGTAAAATGGTTCAGCTGCTGTGAAAAACAGTATGTTGGTTCATCAGACAATTTAAAATAAAATTACTATACGATCCAGCAATTTCACTTCTAGTTATATACCCAAGATATTTACACACCCATGTTCATAGCTGCATTAGTCACAGTAGCTAAAATGTGGAAGCAACCCAAGTGTCCATCAGCAGATGAATGGACAAGCAAAGGGTAGTATATACATACAATAGTTTATTGTTCAACCTTAAAAAGGAAGAAACCTCTGTGATATGCTACAACTTGGAGAACCTTGAGGGCATTATTAGCATTTGTCTATTTGTCCCCGAAAGACAAATATTGTATGATTCCACTTACATCAGGTACTTAGAGAAGTCAAAATCATAAAAGACAGAAGGTATAATGGTGGTCACCAGGGGCTAGACAGAGGGTAATATGAGAGGTTAGTGTTTAGTGGGGACAGAGTTTCAGTTTTACAAGATGAAAAGAGTTCTGGGGATGGATGGTGGGGATACTGCAGAAACTGTGCCATAGCCCCCCTGTGGGATATTATTCAGCATCAGAAAGGAATGAACTACTGATACATCCAGCTTGTATAAGTCTGCAGGGAATTATGCTGAGTGGAAAAGCCCATCCTCCAAATTTACATACTGTATGCTTTCATTTGTACAGTGTCCTTAAAACGACATATTCTAGAAATGGAGAACAGAGTAGTGTTGTCAGGA